GGCACTTGAGCTCTGGTAACCAGTGGATATAGCCGGAGGCGGTGGTGGAGGCTGTAACGACGAAGCGCTGACAGATTGCTGGGGAGCATATGGAGGATTCGACGGCCACTGCTGGTAGGATGTATTATCCGCCGACTGGGTCGCCCAGCCTGGGGCAGCTGGTAAAGGTTTATTTGGGTCTAGCGGGCTCACAACTGGAGACTGCGCCTGTGGTGATTGCGCCGTGCTTGAAGGCCGCGGCTAATTGGGTTTATATACTCGTCAGAAAATTGCGAACCCATCAAGGGGTAGATCAATAAGCGTTCAACAACACTCACGGGTAGTGGTGGGGGCGACTGCGCATGAAGTTGGTGCCTATTGTACTTCACTCCCCATGAAGTGGTTTCGGAGCCCGCAACGGCAGAAACGGGGGATACGCTTGTACCCGGATAATTATTGACCGTTGAGGGAGGATTGGAAATTTGACCGTAGACGGTGGGGTTGAACGGGGATGATGAGGATGTTGTTGTTGTTGTTGGACGCGGAGGAGGCGGCGGAGGCGGCGGGGAAGAAGCTCGCCATGATGGTTGCGGAGGATGATGGCGAGATGAAGCTGGTTGCTGCGTGCTGGAAGGCAGACGCCATTCGGGCTGTGGAGGAGCCGAACTTTGGTGACCGGATTGCGACCCATACATCTTGATGCTGGTCGCAAAAAAAGAAAAAATGAGACAGGAAAGAAAACGCCTTCCGCAAAGCCGTCTTCTCCTGGTAACTCTTTTAAGGAGAGAATGAAGAGGAGGAGGAGGGATGATAACCTCAAGCGACCACCATAAGGCAGGCCACGAGGCAGATCGGCTGACCGGAAAGGAGGTCCTTCTGACAGCCAAAGTTACTCTTTGCGCCTTGTCTTTCTCGCTTTTCTCACTCTTTCTTTCCTTATTTTCCTTCCCTCTTCCCTTTTCCCTCTTTCTCAATCATGCAAGTGATAATAAATATGTTACAGTTCTGGGGAAAGTCAGGATCAGCAGAGCTTCACGCTTGCAGTTGCCGAGTCGCTAAATTTCAATCCAATGGATGCCATCAGCTCTGCCACGATCCATTTATATCCACCATTCAGTGACGCCGCTACTACTTTGGTTTTCCCGCACTTGCTCCACCATCATGAACAGCCATGATCCCAGTGTCCACCAGCACCTCAAGCAACTTAGGTATACTATCTATATCATTAGAATGCTCGACGGGGCTAATTCTGGGTTGCTTGAATAATAGCCACTATTGCCCGTTAACCTAGATAAGTACACTGATGACACCACAACAGATCATCCTGTTCAGCGATAGTACTACTATATTTATTACTATTCATATCATCAATCATTCCGGTGGGGATATAATACCCTACTATAAGATACTCTCCTATAGTTCTAGTACCGTCTACACTCACCCTGTGAACAAAATGCCCTGAACCATCTATTATCAACGCCCTCAAAGCAATGTCCACGATCACAATATGCTGATAGTACTTCTCCCTCTGACTTGGGTAGTACAAAGAACTTATGACCCTGTGGAACAACCCCCTCTTTGTGGGCATCTTTCATCAGGCGGATATTTCCTCTTCTATTTATAACCTCTCAAAGAAGGTGTTTAAAGAGATTCGGTCAAACAAGCTCACGTTATAAAGCCCGACTTCTTCTTCCTTTGCATTATTTGCCCCGAGTATCCCTTCATTTCCAAGCTTTCTGCGTTCTCCCTCCCTTGCAAGACAACTGAAAGCAGCACACACTAGGAGCGATATCCTTGGTTACTCAGCAGTACTTGTATTAGTACAATATTGAAGAGACTCGCCTGGACACTAATCCAATCTACTGCGAACCACTTCTCGAAATCTTGGTTAGGTGTTTCGGCTGTCAGAATCATGTCCAAACGTCCATACGATGACGATGACGATGACGATGGCGATGACCCATTTGCCTTTCCCCCCAAACCTAATCTCTTTGATCAAACAAAATGGGCACCGCATGTGAGCATAGAAGATGCAAGGATCGCGCATCGTTTCTGGTCACTTCCAGATACTGTACTAGGTGACAGCCTGGGAGAGCAGCCCCGTTATACCCGGCCCAGGGGTGCGGATGATAATCCTGCAGCACATGCACTTGCAAGAAATGTCTATGACCACTTGATGCACAACGAAAGATTCCTAATGCCAGTCAACCCCACAAATTGGCAAAGGGAATGGACCAATTCCGGGCTGAATAACAGGGTCTGGTCATTCAACGACATCTTTGAAGGGCAGGGTCTTGATCTTGGGGATACCACGGAAGGTCTTAACGAGGTGGACGGGCAGCTTATCAGGGATATGAAGGCCCTCCAGCTAAGAGCCGCCCTTGGGAGCCGGAGCCTCTCAACAGAAGGCACGGTTCCCGTATTACGCCGGCGACTTCAGGACTATAAACGCCAAGTGTATCATCAATACCGCGCCTTGCCTCGAAGTGATCTGTCACATTGGGGTATCCAAAGAGATAACGCGCGAAAGTACGCTATCGAGATTACCGACGATGATGGCATAGGAGCACTGGATATGTACACTTGTGCTATTCTTGCCAGCCCATATAACCCAGCTTATTGGCTGAGCCGGGCTTACTGCCATTACCAACAGGCGTTTTTTGACCTTGCTATCGGGGATGCTTATCGAGCGGAATATCTCTGTGACGTGCTTTATGATACACACCGGCGGAGTCTTCAACATGGACTCTATACGCGGATATGCCACGCTCTGGAGCAGCATATCATGGTTCAACCCCGAGATTCTATCACGGGTAACCTATCCGCGGAAGCTACATTACTTCGCAGGTTCAATGGGGTTAATTTTTTCACACCCACTATTCGGAAGGCCACCCAGCACGTTCTCGCTCTTAGTCTCATGGCGCTCCAGTGTTGGGACGACTATAAAACAAAGGAACGTCTTCTAAGAGCAAGGATGATAAATGTGGACCGGGACTTGATGCCATTCCAAGAGCGCAGAAGGGTCATGGAAGTCGTTGCGGCCAAAGCCAAGACGACCAAGGAAAACACTGATTACTATTACCATGAATCACGAGCTGGGAACGCCCCAGGAGACCGGATATATCCCCATGACGCAGACGACATCGATCGTGCTGCAGTCGCCTTTACGGATAAGGCGACAGATATCTTTATCACCCAGAATGAAAGCATCCCTTGGAAGAAATGCAAGATTGCCGTCAGCGACGATCCAAGCAACACGCAACTGAAAGTGATTGCAACAGAGGATATTACGAAGAACGAGATCATTTTTGTCGAAAATCCCCCCATCAGAGGTCACCTCGAGCTGCCAAAGCTGCCAATCAGAGGGTTAGAATTAAGATGTGACAACTGCCAAAGAGGCCTGCCCGGTGGGCAGTTGGAAAAGCACGCTCGTGAATTTGAACAAGGGAATCTCCGCGAAGCATGCAAATGTATCACACAGCCAGTCCCCATTCTATTCTGCCCTGCGCCAAATGATAGTGATCCAACTTGCGCCGAGAATGCTCAAGCACGGTATCACTTTCAAGTCTGTGGTGAAGACTGGGCATGGCTACACGACGCCATGCGGCCCATAAAGGTTCTGGACTCCGAAGAACGTCCTTGTTACAAGTACTCGTGTGAAACACAGTCAACTTTACTGAGTCTCCTCCTGCGTGAAATATTTGACATCACCCTTCACCGAAGAGAAACCCACGATCCCAACCTCATGGCACACGAAATCGACGAACTTGTTGCTCTCGAAGGCCCCCGAAATTGGACCAATCGAAGATTTCCCTTTAGCTTGACTGCCAATGTCCATATTCCCTTCAATATCCTCTTACAACTCGGCGTCGACATCTTCCGCGACCTCAGCTTCGACACTTGGGTTATTCAACTGGTTCTGAGGAAGCTCACCGTCAACGCCATTCCCTGTAGGAGTGACCGTTTCAAATACACGACGATAATCAAGCATAAAACCTTTCCAAAATGGGAAGACGAGCTGAAGATCGAGGATTTACCGTACTTTGATCCCTCTTTCCCCAAGCTATATTTATATCCTGGGCACAGTCTTTTCAATCATGCGTGTCGTACCAATTTCAACGCCAGCTGGGCCCCCTACGGTGACGAGAACCCTAATCTGATGATTCTGTGGTCATTCAAAGACATCAAGAAAGGTGATGAGATTCGCATCCCGTATTTTTACCCTCTCGATACAGGCGTCTCCACTAGCATTTTGGAGCGTGCTCTCGGAAGACCTTGCAACTGTGGCGGACCTCATCTTGATGCAGAATATGTGCCTCCACCAGCACCAGCAAAAAACAAGCAATCAATAGGAAAGAAAGGGAAACGATCATGACAAAGAATGCGAATAGGAGCTTGATGATACAGTCTGTTTTGTTTCTATTTAATCATAAATGTATACAGGCTATGTCACAGCTGATGTTTGGCCTGTTGGCCATTCCGCTACTCTTCGAATTGGTCCGTTTAGCTGGTATTTGGTCTGTTGTGTTTTGATTGTTGTCTCCGCATTGGGCAGTGGCATTTCAATTTCATTACTATCAATTGTCTTCCCACCTCTTGTTAGAATGTTATACGCACATGCTATGCACGCTTTCGTGAAAGGCCTTACTATAAATTGAGAAAGGAGAAAGAAGAGCCGAGAAAGAAAACAGAACAACCTGGGACGGGTAAAACACTTGGACAGCCAAGAGACCCCGGGGGAAAAGAGTAGCACATATTTTCGAGATTTCATTATATGCATACAGACAGAACAGAACAGAGATACGAAGACAACGCGCAAGAAGCCCAAAATGATCATAGTAGGATAAAATACAATACAGAGATGTCTCGAATCCATCCAATGGCACAGCAGGACGGAAGTAGAAATGGGGAGATAGAAGACAACCAAATGAAAAAGCAACATGGCAAGCCAGTATAATCTTTACATACACATACAGAGTTCTAAAGCACGCCATGGGGGGAGGGGGTGTAAGCAGGCTCATTTAAGCAATGACTCTTAGCCGTCTACCAAGCTTCTCGAGCTCACCGATAACGCCACCACCAGCCAGACTCCACTTCTCGCCAACCCAGGCGTCGGTGATGTTCTCACGGAGGAGACCGCTGCGAGCGAAGTATTCCATGAAGCCCTGAGCTTCGTCCCTAGTGAGACCGCCGATGGTCTGGAGCTCGAGAGAGCCGTCCTTGGGGGCGGGGGACTTGGAAGAAGCGGAGTCGTTGAAGACAGCGAGGACGCGCTTGTCAGCGTTGAGGTAGGGGTCAGGTTGAGGGAATTCCGGAGAGGAGGGCTTGACGCCGGCCTGGCGGGCAGCGAGCTGCTGGAGGGCGATTTCGAAGCCGTAGATGGTGGGGCTGTTGGAGCCGGAGGTGGCGTAGAGGATAACACCGCCGTTAGGGAGGGAGGGCTTTGCTGCCTCGGTGCTGGGCTTCAGGAGGGAGAGGAAGTGCTGGACGAAGACGAGGTCGTGGGCGTGGATGGGCTTGCAGTCAATGCTGTTGTACTTGGTCTCCTTCATCCAGTGGGCCAGGTTGTCCAGGGTCACGAGCATGGGAGGACGGGGCTTGAAGCCCTTCTCGAAGCCGGCGGCCGGGGCGGTAGCGGTGAGTTCGGTCCAAAGGGCCTGGAAGACGTTCCATGCCACAGCGGGGTCCTGGATACCGGGCTTGGCGAGAGCCTCGAGGGTCATGCCGGGCTTGACGGCCGTCTTCAGGGTGGGATGGGGCTGGGAGACGGTCAACTTGGACAGAACCTTCTGGTTTGCGGTGACCGTGCGAGACAGGAGAGCGGCGGTGGCATCGTTCTGGACATAGACGTTCGGGTTCTCATCGGAGAGGGGTGCGTAGGCGGTGTTGGCAATGACGAGGTCCTGGGCTAAGGAGGTTGTTAATATCCTTTGCGTAGATGTAGCACTCGTGACGGATCTCACCTTCAGGAACCGTGATAACAACCCATTCCTTGGTGAAAGCCATAGACATGGCCTGCAGCATGTGGACCGACTTTCCGGAGCCCTTCACACCGGTAAGGATCTTCCTGACGACCTTTCCCTTGTTCTCACCCTCCTCAGCGGAGATACCGTCGATGAGCCTTCCCAGCTCGAGCGTCTCGCGCCTCACCACCGTTCCCGGCCGACGGAATATGGACCAGCCCTGCTTGGGCTTGAAGGCCTGAACAGCCCTCAATTGATCGAGCATGGGCACAGGAAGACCCAAAATGGAGCCACGAAGGCGCGCATCCACCATGTTTTCTGCAGAGAGGTCCTGCATGCCTTCGATCTCAAGAGCGTTAGGGTTGCTGAGGACGATGCGTTTGCGGAGCGCTCTGCGTTCTCCGACAGCCGGAGGACGCGTCTTCTCAACAGGCTTCTTCTTCTTCATTTTGGCGGATTTGGCTTGACGATACTTGGCAACCGGTAAATCGCCCTTCTTCTTAGCTCCCGCAAGGAGCGGCGTTGACGAGTGGAATGCTGCTACTCGCTGTGCTGTTAATGTCGGCGGGAGGATAGCTCGGGGTGCGGTAGGAAGCCGCGTAAGGCAGCTCCAGCAGAAGGAGGAAACCATCGCGCTGCGGGACACACTGGCGCTATGGCCAGCGTTCTAATCGGTCAATTGGGATTAATTGCGGCGGGGATGGGGGGTGGGAGCGGAGGTTTGCGCGGAGGAGTCGCCCAAAGACATGGATTGGATTGAAATTCGGAGCACATTTTGGAGCCTCGACTCAGATTCCTCCTCCCTTGCCTCTTTTGGACTAGCTCCAGTGCCGCTGGAAGGGAAGGCGGTGTGACATGGCTAAAAGCAGCATGGCGATTTTATCTCCCGAACTTTTTTTTTCCTCTTTACCCGATCGGTCAAATCACTTGTTTCCTTTGCGCCCAGTTCTCCAGTCTTTTTTGGAGTCCCTGTGTGATACTCTCAACCTCAACCCCCAGAGTATCTTGTTCGCCAGTTGCGCGACCAAAAGTTCAAAATGGCGTCTACCGACTCCAAGCCCAAGCCGGAGAGACTGTAAGTCGAATCCACCCCCCATTTGCGTGGGGAAAGATTATCATCTATCTATACAAACTCCGTTAAACTTGAATAAACACCCATACTGATTCCTCAATGATGATACTATCAGGCCCGTGACAGTCTCTAAGCCGACCCCATACACATTCGACCTCGGTCATCTGCTTGCGAACGATCCCAACCCTCTCGAGATCTCCCGCTCCGAACCCTTGGACGTCAGTCTCAAGGCCACAGCCCGGGATGGCACCCAGTCTCTTCTCAACCAGCTCCTGACCACCTGCCCCATCACCTCCTCCCAACAGGGTGTTCTCCTGACTCTCCCGTCTCCCTCCACTGTCCTCCCGCGCTTCAAGCCTCTTCCCACCCCCAAGCCCCCGACTAAGTGGGAGCTGTTCGCCCGCAAGAAGGGTATTGGCAAATACAGCAGCAGGCCTGGCGCAGCATTGGCCGATAAGGAGCGTCGCAAGAAGTTGGTGTACGATGAAGAGAAGGGCGAGTGGGTTCCTCGCTGGGGTTACAAGGGCAAGAACAAGTCCGATGATGAATGGCTTGTTGAGGTGAACGAGAAGGATTGGAAGAAGGAAGAAGAGGCGGCCGCTAAGGGAAGCTCGATCCGTGGACTATCTCGCGCCGAACGCAAAGACAGGATACGCCGCAACGAGAGGAAAATGAGAGCGAATGAGCGCAAGAACAGGAAGTCGGGTGGTGGTTAAAATATACTGATGATGTGTATTATGTGCTGTGTGTGTTGTTGTGTCTGATAACGATTTTTGTCAAGAGTCGAGGCCGTATAACAAGTTTTTGCGGATCTTGCCTTGGTTTTAATTTTTCGTTCTTTCACTGGGGCTCAAATGTTAAGGCGTTCGGTTTGGAGTCGCTGGGCTTGGATGTCTGTCAATGTTGCCTTTGGTTTGGGACTTGTTCGTCTCGCCGGGCTCGAAAAGCAATATCACATTTTACTACCCCTCTAAGTATTTGTCTTATTTCTTGATCTTCTATGGGGTCCGCACCATAACTGGGGCTAATGCTCGACTTCACATGTACTACTTGTTCACTTGTAGATACGCCTCTATACTCAAATACAAATAGACCATCCAGCCTTCCAATTCCAATTTTGTTTCTTTATTGATGCATCGCCTGTTATTGGTCTATCTTACAGCTATGTACCAATATACGCCGAAGAATTGAGAAATAGTACAAAGCAAGGACCAAAAATGTGTCATGAGTCGCCAAATTCGAGGGAAACGCACCGTAACACAGCTCAAGTGGGGAATCAATAGATGAATAAGCCGGTAAAAATGGAGATAAGGAAATACATGCGTTTGATGATTCCAAAAAACAATGAAAAGGCTAGAAAGGAATTATGTCGCCAACGGTGCCATGAAGTGAAAATGGGATTGAGCAAAGACAGAAAGAGAAGACGAAGAGAAAGATTTGTACAACAAAAGTCAAAGCATCGTGTAGGCCTGAACTGAACCGACTCCAAGGCGCCAGGCATGCAGTCTGATGGTGGCCCGATATAGCTGGAAAATCGTCGCGAAACCAAATTGGTTAAGGCATAAAGATGGAAAGCTGAAGAAGATTCATGTATGCGCCAACGTCTAGAGCAAGATATGGGGAAATGGTGTATGAGCCGGGTCACAATCGAAAGATATAATTCGTCATCATGCACAACCTGCGGATCCAGTCCCAGGCCTTACGCATGGTGAAGTAGGATTTCGAGCATGTAGGCCAGCCTAGTCGGGCAAGGAAATGGGATGTTGGTGGATACCAGCGTAATGGAATATCGCCGGTGAAAACTCTATAGGGGATGTTGTTTAGATCTGTATCGGGGACAGTGGGGGCCCGAGTTCGGGAAGCTGTGATATGCTTCTCGTATGTGAGGTCTCAATGTTCTTTGGTTTTTGTTTGCGGTTCTTCGGTACTTCGGGACGCGGTGGCTCTTCTTCCTGTCCTAGTTGGCTACTACCGGAAGAAACAGCTCTTTCGTCGCTCTGTGGAGCTTGATAAGGATGCTGGGGTTGCTGGCTTTGCTGGCTTTGTTGAGGTTGTTGAACTTGCTGACAATCGTGGACTGCCTCATCCTTCTCCTGGGCCGCCTTTTCCTTTTCATCCAATTCCTTCTCAATTTGAAGGTATTCTTTCTCTGTCCAGCAGCCTTGCCAGCAGTTCTTCCAGTCGCAGACCAGGAAGTGGAAGCAGAATGCATCAATTTTCATGCAAGGCTGGAAGCAAATGCAAAGGTTGCGGTAGTCCATTTTGTTCTGGTCGACATAGGAGTGCAGGAGGTTGAGGTGGCAAGTGATGGCAAAAAGAAGGTAATAGTTATAAGGCGGCAATTTGGAAAGTTCATCTTTCAGCATTTGTGGCGCAGTCGTCGCACCCTCGCATTTCTCAGCAATTAAGGCTTGTGTCTCCTTGGGGAAGAGCTCATCTGGCAATTCACGAAGCCAAGCCTTGAACATCGAGCCAATAGTGTTGATATCGTAAAGGTCTGGCACATCGAAAAGGTTGATGTCAAGTTCTGTATGGAAACGTCAGACTCGATGAGAGGGAATCCGGGTTTGCAAAAGAAAGGTACCTGTATCAAAACGTCTTTGCCAATGCTTCACCTCTTTCCCACTTCCCGGGACTCGGTAGAGTCCCTCTTCCTCACATCCCTTAAAATTGAGGTAGCTAGTACGTCGTTAGCACATCTATTTCAGACATACAGGTTCGTGATTTGTCTTACTCGACGCAGCGGTAAGGTAGAGCAGGCATCCAGAACTCGGTTTTGTCTCGACAATCTTCAAGTCGCTTTGCGATACGAGTCCGTCTTGCCTGCTGTATCAGTGGCAGATTGATGACTGAGCAAACATAATTGTCGTCATTCACGAGCTCCCGCTCATTCGTGCTCCCGCTTCTGGTAATCTTGCCGAAGAAACCCTTCCCAGCCTTGCCGATGCGGTCAGCGGCACCACTTGATGATTGTTTGAGGTTATTGAATAGCGCAGCAGATGCGCCTGACACCTGACTTAGTGAGGCGGAGGGAACCATCGATCCCGCATAGTATTTATCTTTACGCATGTGACCGTTGTGATATTCCGTGGGACGGTCGGCGGTATAACTGCGAGCCGTAGGATTCCCCGCTGTTTTGATTCCGCGCTCATGACGTGAGGCAGACTTCGGGGGCTCTTGCACCTCCCTGCGGGTGTTTTCTTCGAGCCTCATCAGGCTGGTAGATGGGCGCCGATTTGCTATCCTGTTCATAGAGGAGTCGTCCAACCTGATCGAGCGGGAGCGAGAGAGGAGATTTGCGAAGCGCGGCTTATTCTTCTTGGCTAGGTTGAAGGCCTCCGATTCCGTGCCCACTTTCTTCACCTCTGTTGGTTGGGGACACTTCTCCTCAGCGCGGTCACCACCTATTGAATGGGCTTGTCAATGCCTGAAACAGACCTATGGCTGGGCGGATTCACTTACGACTCTCTTCTTGAGCTGCTCGCTCAATAGCACCTGGCAGATCAGGAGTCGATTCGTAAAATTTCGTTGAGATCTGGGTTTTGCGGTCCCTGGAACTGCCGCGGCTCTTGGGCTTTTCGCCCGAATTCCCTGAGCTATCCGACCGTTGGGCCCTATGTGATGACTTTGGTGCTTTGAGGTTCGCAAAGAAAGAGCGTGACTGATCACGCGTGTGCTTAGGGGTGTCTTTCGGGGAAGGAGGATACTGGGGTATAGCCGTGATACCCGGAGTAGCTGGTTCCGCAGGAGCAATACCCGGAGAGGCCGCTGGGAATGTAGGGCTACTCGACTTGCTGTTCGAATCTTGTGTGACGGGTCTGATAGTGGCTCCTTTGAAAAAGGGCGAGCTCGATGATGACTTGGGGGAACGGGGTGTCAGGGGACTTGGCCCCTCGGAGCTTTGGGCACCGGGCGTCAGTGGAGACGAGATCTTCGCATCCGCCTGCAGAGTGGAAGTGCTTAGATCTAAATTCGGAACAGTGGACTGTCTCGATGGCATCGTAAGTGTCAATCGCGGGTCAGCAGGTGACCCTGAATAGCTGAACCGGGAACACGGTCTGGGCTGAGGAAAAATGATAGTACGTCAAGGATCGGCTGCGACACCAAGTGGACGATGAAAAAGGGCCTAGGGGCGAAAACAGGTTAGCATCCATAAGGTCTCATGAATTGTGCTAAATTTGGATATGATTCGGCTCCCGGCAAAGCTCCTGGTTCTAGAACTTACTCCTTTTCAAATAGAGAGCCACGCAGAATTGGTCTCGGGGAGCATAAATATCCTAGCGCTCCCTTGGCAAAAGAAATGCGAATACCCGATATTTGAGTAGGTGTATGAATTCTGATAAGGAAATGATTGGAACCGGACCAGCCTTGGCCAATATTTCCGGATATGGTGGACTCGCGGAGCACAGTTGAAGAAGGGGGTTGTTGCTTTTCTGCAAGGATATGTCGGGGCGATAGTTCTAATGTAATGTCGCATAGTGGTCAGCAAGATGAAAAATTAAGACGCGTTCTTGAGAGGACCACGACAGGGGAGACAGTGCACTGATACAGGATCGTGGGTAGGGATCAGTTGGATAGAGATAGTACACCCCAAGACCATTGAAACACCATTGCTCCAGGAACAGCCAGCAGTCTCAGGGCAAATGAGCTGTCTTGAGGGGAGGAGATAGTGGACAGTCGTTTGAGGATTCGACTCAAATAAGAAAAAAAAATAAGTCACCACACACATACCAGATTGCGCCGCCCCTCATGTTAGATGGAGACTCCCCCTCCGGTTGTTACTTATCCCCTCCACAACAATTTTGACCGAACAGCGATGCGAACTGTTGCTTCTGGTGACTTAATGCGGTGACAGAGGTTTAGTAAATAGACGCTCGCCTAAGAATCTCGATTTGTGTGTCTGAGCGGTGTTGAAGAGGGCGGTCGGCGTACCAAGGGGACGAGTAGGTGTCGGCGAATTTGCTAGCTAATCCTAAAGCGATAATGAAGATGCTAAAAATGAATAAAAATAAAGGAACAGGAACAGGGAAAGAGAAGAACAAAGAATTTCCGTCCGCTTGACGGGTTTCCCGAAGAAGTGGTAATAGCGATCAAAGAAACACGAGAGCGCGAGTCCACACGGTGTTGGAGGTGTTCAGACTTGAATGTCGCAGCGACGACACATTCCTGGACGGTGTTATGCAAGCGCGGCTGTGTGTCAGGCTAAGAAGCCTCCGTTTTTTTAAGGGGGGGTCGGTAGTGGAGATAGCGTTGCAAGGCTCCGGAATAGTTACTGGGTGGCTTCAGAGTGCTTATGGGATTATGAAAAGCCTATCTTTTTAGTGCACAGACAACCAGATAGCAGATGGATGGATGCCCTTGGATTCTGGGAAGGGAATAAAAATAATAATGGGGAAAAAAAAGGATAGTGGATAACGTCTGTAATTGAAACAGGTAAGGACAGTTTAGCATGGCACTCCCTTCCTGAAGAATGAATGCTGAAGAGGTTCTCTTACTGATAGATAGTAGTTTCAAAATTCAAGTAACAGCCAGATATTGGCAGGCAATAGATAAAAATCAAAAATAAAATCGAAATCTAAGAAAAATATCAATGAAGGATTGATGAAGCACCCTAAACCAAATTTGAGGGATAGAGGTTAAAAAGGGAAAGGAACTCGTGGCTGGTACCAGGAGGATGACGTTGATCCAACCCACGTATTGATGGGTTAACATCTGCAATAGTCACCGAAATACCCAAGTACCTTACAGCTGGGGGAGAGAGGGGGGCAAAATGGAAAGGTTAAACTTCCCATGGTGAGAAAATCGAGAGGCTGTCCGAAAGGAAAGTCAAATCCACATTAGAAACTAACTCATGACTACAAAGTATGTTGCTACATTATTCACAGCTATTTCAGTACTATCGAGAAGAAAGACAAGAGGCAAGAGAAGGAGAGGAAAAAAAGGTTTTGGAAGATTCAGTAATTTCGTTGTGTAGGTAGAATATACAAAGTGTAGTTAGTTATCTTTCGCGCCTGTCGGGGTTGCCCCTGAACACGCTACTGCGCAATAACCCTTGTGATGATGGCCACCCCGGGCTGCAATGGCCACCTCCTGCGTGGACGGAGTACAGGCCATTGGGATATACACCGAAAGATCGGGAGGACCCATCCAAACACTCGAAGCGGTGACAATGACTGGCCAGAAAAGATCGGGTCTGGCAGTTGGTGCCTTGGGCGGGATGATGCATGCCCGGTCTAAGAGACAGCCATTGCGACCGTGGATTGGCCAACCAAGGACATTTGGACGGGGCTTCAGTCGCAGGGCCAAATCAGAAGCACCCGGGACACACGAGTACCTGACGCGGAGGCCCATCACAGCATTTGAGTGGCACCTTATCTGGCTGCTTAGTATGCAGTAGTCCAAGAGTCTTATGGCACTAAAGTATTGTGTCGGCTCCGCAGACGGCCCCCATTGTTGAGTAGGTTATTCCCGAAGTCTTCATGGTGAGAAAAAAATTTTTGGTGTCTTTGTCCACAATTTGTTTGACTGTATAAAATGAATATTAACGTCTGAATATTGAACCTTCCTGCAAGTGGTCTGATTCTTGAAGCTGTATGGGTAGTCAACCATGGTTCGGTCAAGACAAATTTGATACAGTCAGTGGGGATGATAGGGAAAAGAGGAAATAATGCGTACTCGGTGCCTGGATAGTGTACCCCGTACCTAGGTACTACTGACTTCCTAGGCACCGTTGAACGAATAAATAATGGTTATCATTGTCTTATTGCCCCGCTTTACCAATGACATTTATAGCACCGAATGTCTACACTTTCTGGTTGTGCCTCTCTTGTAGTACGGTACATTCCGGATGGCTAAATATAGACAAGGGGAAGGAAAAAGAAAGCCAGAGAGCACTGGAGCAGGTTTACAACCCTGGAACTGTCATTTGGAAATTGCGCTGCTTCTGTAAGCAATGCTGGACTGAAAACAAAACATACTTTGGCGCTTCCATGTGTGAAGTATATTCCGGTAATTCCACGGGGCATTATACGCTGCCACAGGGAGCACGCGGCTTCCCACCTCTGGTGGTCTAGCGCTTCGTTGCAGTGGTGGAGAAGTCAACTCAACCCTCCCGGTTAGCAAAGGTAGCGTGCTCCCCCTACGGCTTTAGTACTCCAGGACAATTTGCTGCTTTTGACATAAATGGGACTCATCATTAATGTGGACTCCTGAGGGTCATGCACCTCATGGCACTTATGCGGAAGCGTTATGAGCGTTACCCGTTTAGCGATTTCTGCCTGGAGCCTAGAGGGTACTAGATTAGAAAATATTTAGATAGATACATATAGTAGTATCAAGTCTAGTCAACGGCATTGTTACACGTGGGACAGTGGAAGACTCATATGACTACTACTAGACTACGCCTACGCCATACCGAGTCAATAGCCCGGCACTACGTAATTGTGCCTAGCTAATACTATCGGAGTAGAAGAGACAGAACCCACATTCCCCATCCATACCTGCAGTTCTGCACCTTAGTGCTCATCATCATCACAAGGATCACTCTGCGCTCGGTAGAAACTTCGATACTACCTGCCTACCTTGGACTTACGTGCATTTGACAAATTTGATAGACATTGCCACCAACTTACTTTGTACTTAGACCAGAGTGGGACGCGGGAGCCCGGCCTCCATGGCATGGGCACAAGGGCCAGCCACCGAACATTTCTGAGAGAGCAGGGACCCAGGGGCAAGCAGTCTTTGGCGCTCAGGGGTTTCACACCGCTGTCCGTGGGAGACGGCGATCCTGCCCTAAACGCCAGGCTGAAACAATGGGCCCCGCTTTTTGGCCCAGCAGCTTACCCGGTGGCGTTTAATCACGTGATGGTCAGCCCTCCCCTCTCGTCGCCAACCGCCGACCACCACACACACACACACACACACCTTTTCCCGAAGCTTGCTTTTTTTAACCCTCCCAGCTTCCCGAGTCGTCCACGACTAACCTCCAAAGACACCTCATACTAACCTCACCTGCAGTGAGGGGGAACACGTGCAGCGGTTGCCTCCCTTGACGACCCTGTGTTTGCCACCCCCAAAGCTTCAAACCTGCTTCTCCGCCTTGATCGCCCTTGTGTTGGCAGGCACAAGCTTCGTGGCCTTGGTCAAGACAACACTTAAGGCTGCCGCTCTAGCGCCGGCAAGAAGCTCCTGACTAGTCAAAGCTCAACCACTAATTACACTGCTTTCAGCGATCCGGTTACAGAAATGTCCTTAGTTTCGGGTCCTGGTAGGGCTGCTGGGATCGAATCCAGCTTGAATCTTAGTGTCGAAAGACATGTGGATTACATCAAGAACTTGGACAGCGTGCGTCAATTCTTACTATAACCATGGTTCTTCTCTTGATGATGGGGACGATGGTTGACAGGTGATGCTAGAGGAGGGATGAGCTAGAATATTGGCTTACAGAACACCTTCGCCTGAATGGGGTGTATTGGGGCTTGACGGCTCTACATCTCCTTGGCCGTCCCGATGTCCTTCCTCGTGAAGATACCATCGATTTTGTTCTCTCGTGTCAACGGGAGAATGGCGGCTTCGGGGCAGCTCCGGGCCATGATGCACACATGCTGTACACAGTATCGGCAGTGCAAATTCTCGTAACCCTAGACGCGGTGGATGAGCTGGAGAAGCGCGGTCTAGGAGGAAAAGAGAAGGTTGGCTCTTTCATCGCAGGGCTACAGGACAAAGACACTGGCGCTTTCATGGGCGATGAATGGGGTGAGAGAGATACACGCTTTCTGTATGGCGCGTTTAATGCACTCTCCCTTCTTGGGCTTCTTCACACAGTTGATGTGCCCAAAGCCATTTCCTATGTCCAACAGTGTGAGAACTTGGACGGCGGCTATGGCATCCAGCCTGGAGCTGAGTCACATGCTGGTCAAATTTTCACTTGCGTAGGAGCTCTGGCAATCGCCGGACGACTGGACTTGGTAAACAAGGACCGTCTTGGAGGTTGGCTCAGCGAAAGACAGGTCGAAAATGGTGGTCTGAATGGAAGGCCCGAGAAACTGCCCGATGCATGCTATAGCTGGTGGGTTGGTGCTAGCTTGGCTATGATCGACAAACTCCACTGGATTGATAGTGGCAAGCTTTCTGCTTTCATCTTGCGCTGTCAGGTATGTTATCCCTTCGCCATGGCCTTGCATGCATGGCACTGACGCAATCCAGGATTCGGAGGCTGGGGGTATCGGAGACAGACCAGGCAGCATGGTTGATGTGTTTCATACGCATTTTGCCATTGCCGGTTTGAGCCTGTTGAAGTTCAATGGCATCCAAGAAGTAGATCCTGTTTAGTGAGTTATGCAAACCTGCGCAACGCAGTGGTGCGGATAGCTAACTTTCTTGTTTAGTTGTATGCCGAAGGCAATTACACAGAAATATCTGCAACGGTAATCTTTGGCTGTATGATGACATCACCCTTTGAGTACTGTTTTTTGACGTAGGCCTTACCTCCTGCAATCTAATAACCCGTTTTTCTTTATCTCCATGGATTATGGGATACAAGGCAGGAGAAGAGTGATTGGCACTGTGACTTATTTCCGCTTCATACCCCCTCACAATAGCCTTATGGAAAGGCTGTTAAGACACAGTGGCACATGAATCGTAATCATAGTCAAGATATACAGTAGCTAGTTGATCAACATAGAAGAGTATGAAATAAGTATCATCCTTGGAGTTGACTGATAAAGGTGTGGAAGAAATTACTAGTATTTATGTTCTAGTAGCCTTGACTTAAATCCAACGCTTTTCTAGGATGCCAGATGCTAAATGCATCCCGTCCAATTTGTCTGCAAACAAAAAAAGGCCATGGCCGTCATAACGTTTACTAGTCATGTAGCAAACGTCTGTCTCTACTAGTAAGGTGGCATTGGTCGATTCGTGCTCCTTTCCTTAGTTACTGCTACTCGATTATTCATATAAAAGCAAACAGCCTCTTCAGCAGATACCGGTGAATATAATGAATAGTACTAGTATTGAAGCCCGAGCTCCGAAAACGGCCGAGAGATATATATAGTCAGTAGTGGTCGTGTGTTATAGTTGAATAAGTGGTACTACTTGGTCTGCTGAGTAGTTGGCTTCTAGTATTCTAGTACTAGGACGTACTAGGTTATAGAACACATATAGGATGCTAAACTGGCTTACAATTAGGCTTCTCACTCTGTTTGCAACGGAGCCATGAATTGTATCATCTATACTAGGACAGTGTATCATATATGAATACGTTTTCCGTGTTTATACTGAAGTATTGCTTCCCACCCACCCACATAAATGAAACTGGTAACTACTACTTACTAACCAAGGTCTACTTTTATATCTATTATGTAGTGGCGTCGCTTAATGAGTCCCCAAAAGTAGAAAACGTGCAAATGATATGAGGGTCAACTACTATGATCGATCGCGTGGTCTACTGTATCTGCTCCCCTGCCCGTATTAATACTTGCCTGCCTGGAGAAAGCTGGTCTTGGTAGCTCTTTCTCTAGTTGTGAATTGACAGCGAAGGAGAGTCAGCCGGGCAGGTCCCCCATCTTGTAACGCCTTATCTTCTAAAGATTCTCATCCTTTCCTTCCAAGGCCGGAATACCACATCTGTTGTTGAGAGAAACTCCTCCTTGTTGTTTCCTTCGATATCTCTTCCAAGATTCGGCGCTGGATCCTCTTACACCCCTTTCCAAAATGGATACAGCTGCACTTTTGTGCAATATCTGTCCCAAGCGGCCCACATTCAGCGATGCATCGCACTTGCTTACCCATATCTCGTCAAAGGCACACTTGTCCCACTATTTCAAACTTCAAGTACGCAGTCATCAAGAGCAGCATGCAGTGGCCTTGCTACGTGAATATGACAGATGGTATAAGAGAAACAACTTAGCAAAGTTGCTTTCGGATCGGATGTCCTCGAAAGAAGCCCGCAAGAAAAAAATACAAGAAAAATCATATACGGAGAGCGAGACTGATAATGCTACAGTGCCAGTATCCACTGCAAGTCCTTCATCCCAGAACCCACTCCCTGATTATCTGGACCCACGTCTCTCTCGCTCATATGTCATTGAAGACGAGGCTGAGGACACAAACACGCCATACTCTTCAGCCAATGCCGCTCCTAGTGACCCGTCTTATAATCTCACGCATACTTACCCTGGATTAGAAGACCACTCGTTGGCCTCAGTGGCCTCTCCGACAAAGACAGCACAGAATTCATGCAACCTCTGGAAGCAAGAACAAATGCAAAGGGCGGAAGACGAGGACATTCCGGTGCAAACTGCATTGTACTGGGCAAAGGCACCGGACAACGAAGCAGACGTGGCCCCCCAGCCATCCGGCCAATACAGCTGTGATCCATTTGTCGACGATAACGAGAATGACAGTATTTATTTTCCCGCCACAAATGAGATGGAAAAGGAAAGAGTAGATGAAATAGCCAGACTGAAGGGTGTGCTGTGGCCTGGAATGGATATCTTTGACTCGGCTACCGAACAGATGAGACGCAGACGCAATCAGAAGAAGGATGAAAGTATCTTGAAGCTCATGGAGAAGACGTCCCTTTGCGTGGAGCCCACAGAGCTCGTCTTTTCCCCTACCGGAATTTTACGGAAGCAGCGTGTGATCTCAGGTAATGTTGAGGACAGCAGCCCCCTCAAAGGGGAGACGCCCATTCCCAAACGTCGAGTAAACCGTCCCAAAAGGGTCCTCTCTCAAGTTGACCCTAACATCCAACGTGGACAAAGTAGGAAGCGAACTAGAAGGACCACCAAGCGCAATGGAAACTTGGTGGATAGGGATACAAGAGGAAGAGATATAGAGTTCCCGAAGGCATCCCTAGGGCCCCAGCGGCCGCTTCGCTATGGCAGTCGCGAGGATGATATGGACGAATTTGAATTGTCTTTCAAAGGGACTAAGCTCAAACCTCGTACCGGATTTACAGTCTTTCACGATGGACCAAATCAGTACATTGCCGGTTCTACGGATTCTCACTGTGGCGATGGAACTCATTCTGTGGCGTCGGCTTCCTCTCATCCTCTATACCTCCTGAAAGATTTCACACTTCATCATGATGCTTATCCACTATCACCTGGTGACCAATCTTCTGCAGTGGTTGGACGAGCGCATGGTTTGACCATGGACAAGGAGAACATTGAACCACTCCTGGATATTCGTGGCCGCATTGATCCTTTGATGGACTGGCACGCCCCTTCTCTCACGGAGCATGCAACCGGCGAAATCTGTTACCCACCACAGTACTTTTTCAGAGATCCTCGACCAGTTGGCTTCAGATCATTCGATAACCAGGAAAGCCCCACTGGATACTCATTTAACCCTTTGGCCGTTTCACTCCCCGGGTTGCCCGTTGACGATGGTCCAATGTATAGTCCAAAACCAGAACATAGACCGAACAATCAGTATGAACCACTGCTTGGCTCACCCGAGTCGACAATTTCGGACGTTGATGAAAGCGAGTTTGGCCGACTTTACCTGGACGGGAGCTCGTTCTAAGCTCTGGTCTTTGCCGGTGTTCTTTGAGTCCAGTTCCTGCGGGTCGAACCATTTCTTTATACGGCCCTTGCTCGATATTGATAGCCTTTAGACTAAAGTGACATTGCTTTGTAGCATGCCTTGCATTCGACTTATATACAAGCAATCCCGTTATGTGGTATGGATACTTGGGTGGTTAGCACTGCATTGGGGCCAACCTTCGGTGGTAGCTGCTATACATTGACTGTCAGACGACGGCCCTCGACACTGCATACTAGTATGCTATTATGTATAAGAACGCCAAACACGTTATGCTTACTTGAAAATGGAGACAGAAAAGGATAGAGAAAGTGTATACTTTGATGCCTCGAAGTAACTCGGTAAATACATATGCCTCAGGCATAAATGCTTATATCATCTTCAATTAAGGCCATTACGCGTGACGGGCGTGACGGAGCTCCTCCACGCGTCGAGGTCATCGAGCCGCGGACACGCATTTGACGCTAAGGCCAATTCTTTGGCTCCGGAATCCGTTTGATGCGATTCTTTGATGCATGACATATGAATTCAGATATCCTAGGTTGTTTTTGGACGTCTAGGCTGCGACCAGCAGGCGCTACCGCCACCGCGAACCCTTTCCCCTCGGTGTCCTTATAGTGCTAGGATATTTTGCCTCGGCGATTGCCGGTGGTTTCGACCACAAGGAGAAAATGCCCCTTCCCTCATCACAGAATTCTTCGTCACCGGGGGTGAAGCGGAAACAGTCAACGCTCGCGAGCTTCTTCACGAAGAAACCACAAACAGCCCAGCAAGCTTCAGTCAATGTCGTTGAAGAGAAAAGCCCAGCTGCAACTTTTGATAAAGCGGACAATCAGGAACGAGCGGCAAAGAAAGATAAAGCCCTGACCGATGATGAGGAGGATGACATAGTCGCACCGGCTCCTAAAAGAGTTAGAACGAACGGCCTTTATCCCGCAAGCAGAGAAGAGATTCCGAATTCAACATCAACTACAGAGCGACCCCCGGCCCTGACCAGTAGCCAAAGAACTGAAAGATTTAAGTTCAGCAGCTCACCAGCGGTGAATACTGGAGTGGAAGGGTCACAGGCGGCAGTTGAACTCGAGGCTGGACAAAGACAGAAGGAGAGAGAAGAGTTACACCACAAGTTCGTTCGGAAGTTGGGTGGCGCGGACTGCCTCATTGGCATTGGTAGAAATGCCATTAGCGAAGCTACGCCCGAAGAGGGTGCTGAGCCTGAAGATGAGGAGGAAGCAGCACCACCCCCTCCTGCTAAGGGCAAAGCTGCCGCGAAGAAAGGCGGAAGCAAGCTCACTCCAATGGAGAAGCAGGTCATCGACATAAAGCGCAAGCATATGGATACAGTCCTAGTAGTTGAAGTTGGCTATAAGTTCCGATTCTTTGGTGAAGATGCGAGGGTCGCCGCAAAGGAATTGTCTATTGTCTGTATCCCAGGGAAACTGAGATTTGACGAACGTAAGTATGGTTCCGTCGCCTCCTTCTCACATCCTGCTTGAGCAGTTCGTGCCTAACGTGGTCTTGTCAAATCTAGATCCTTCTGAAGCACACCTCGATCGTTTCGCCTCCGCTAGCATACCAGTCCACAGATTACATGTTCATGTAAAGCGCCTCGTTGCTGCAGGTCATAAGGTCGGCGTTGTGAGACAAATAGAGACCGCTGCTCTGAAAGCAGCGGGCGACAACCGTAACGCGCCCTTCGTGCGCAAACTCACAAATTTGTACACCAAGGGTACCTACATTGACGATGCGGAGGGCTTAGGAGGGCCTATGCCTGCAGCATCTGGCGGCGCCTCACCAGCAACCGGCTACTTGCTATGTATAACTGAAACAAATGCAAAGGGCTGGGGCAATGACGAGAAGGTTCAAGTGGGAATTGTTGCTGTCCAGCCAGCTACAGGAGACATAGTCTATGACGATTTTGAAGATGGGTTCATGAGAAGCGAGATCGAAACGAGGTTGCTGCATATTGCACCCTGTGAGCTTTTGATTGTTGGCGAGCTTTCCAAGGCTACGGAGAAGCTCGTTCAGCATCTTTCTGGCAGCAAGTTGAACGTCTTCGGAGACAAGACCCGCGTGGAAAGAGTACTTAAGTCGAAAACTGCCGCCGCAGAGTCACACAGCCACGTCTCCAGCTTTTATGCAGGAAAAATGAAGACGGCCAGTGCTGCAGATGACGCGCAGGCGAGTAGCCTACTTCAGAAGGTGCTCAATCTGCCAGAGCAAGTGACCATTTGCCTCTCGTCCATGATCGAGCACATGAAAGAGTACGGCTTGGAATATGTTTTCGAGTTGACAAAATACTTCCAACACTTTTCCTCCCGATCACACATGCTTCTGAATGGGAACACTCTCATGAGCCTTGAGATCTACCAAAATCAAACGGACCATACGACTAAAGGCAGTCTCTTCTGGACGCTTGATCGGACGCAAACGCGGTTCGGACAGCGCATGCTCCGGAAATGGGTCGGACGTCCTCTGCTAGACAAGTCGAGGCTGGAGGAGAGGGTGAACGCCGTCGAAGAGCTGAAGAATCCAGAAAAGACGGTAATGGTAGAGCGGCTCAAGGGTCTGCTTGGAAAGGTCAAGAGCGACTTGGAAAAGAGCTTGATCCGGATCTATTACGGCAAGGTTTGTTTTTCGTCTCGATAATTCTTGTGCCACTTGAGTAAAGACTAATAAGATAACCAGTGTACTCGACCGGAACTCCTCACCGTTTTGCAGACGATGCAAATGATTGCGCAGGAGTTTTCTGACGTGAAATCACCTGCGGATACCGGTTTTGCATCTACTGCCATCAATGAGGCGATCACTTGTCTCCCTACGATCCTGGAAGATGTTGTAGCATTTCTGGACAAGATAAATATGCATGCTGCGAAGAGTGATGATAAATATGCCTTCTTCCGGGAAGCCGAGGAGACAGAAGATATCAGCGACCAAAAGCTCGGCATTGCAAGTGTGGAACACGAGCTAGAGGAGCATCGCTCTGTTGCTGGCCAGAAGCTTGGGAAGAAGACGGTCGAATACAAGTCTGTTGCGGGGATTGATTATTTGATTGAAGTCGAGAACAGCTCGGCTTCCATCAAACGTGTCCCTGCATCGTGGGTGAAAGTGAGCGGCACCAAGAAAGTTTCAAGGTTTCACACGCCGGAAGTCATCCAACTCATGCGACAGCGTGACCAACATAAAGAAGCGTTGGCCGCGGCGTGTGACCAGGCTTTCATATCCCTTCTCGCTGATATAGCAACTAAATACCAGCCCTTCAGGGATAGTGTGCAGGCATTGGCCACGCTTGACTGCCTGATAGCTCTGGCGACTATAGCTAGTCAACCGGGATATGTGAAGCCCGAATATACGGACCATACGTGCATCCAAGTAGACCAGGGACGTCATCCAATGGTCGAACAGCTACTGCTGGACAGCTATGTACCAAACGACATCGACCTGGACAGCGACAAGACACGCGCTCTTCTGGTTACCGGACCCAACATGGGCGGCAAGTCCAGCTATGTACGGCAAGTAGCCCTTATTGCCATCATGGGGCAAATAGGCTCTTATGTTCCCGCGCAGTCTGCCAAGCTTGGTATGTTGGACGCTGTTTTTACACGCATGGGTGCTTTCGACAACATGCTAGCTGGCGAGTCTACCTTCATGGTTGAGCTTTCCGAAACCGCAGACATACTCAAGCAAGCGACTCCACGGTCACTTGTTATTCTGGATGAACTGGGCCGGGGTACGTCAACCCATGATGGCGTTGCAATTGCACAAGCTGTCCTTGACTACATGGTACGGTCGATTCGAAGCCTTACCCTCTTCATCACGCATTATCAACACCTCTCTTCAATGGTCCATTCCTTCGCAGACCAAGAATTACGCAACGTGCACATGCGCTTCACTGAGTCGGGTACCGGAACAGACGAAGAGATCACATTCCTCTATGAGGTAGGTGAAGGCGTGGCACACCGCAGCTACGGGCTGAATGTCGCGCGGTTAGCAAACCTGCCAGGGGCATTGCTGGACCAAGCCCGGCAGAAGAGTAAAGAATTGGAGGAGAAAATCCGCCGGCGGAAACTGGCTGGTCTTGTGACGGCCGTCGGAGAGGTCATTGAAGGCTCCAAGGATGAAAATATGATTGAGCGCCTCATCAGCAGCGCAGAGCAGCTGTAGTTGATAAGCACTTGGTGGGGAGAGAATATTATAGATTGTTACTGCCCTTTCTATCTGACATGAGCGTATTGCCGGCATTGCATGAAGAAACTGTTAGGATTTGAGACATAGATTTATGAATATCAATTGAATGGCTCATATAAGCGGGGCCCCCACACTGCTGTTTCCTTCATCTTATACATCTATGGCAATAATATCTACGATGGCCAACAGGTGGAATGGACATGTGTATCTTAGGCTAGGACTCACGAAATACCGGCACAAGATATAGTTGCCTTCGCAGACCGTATTCCCCTGATACCACCTACGGTCCAATCTGAGCATGTTCACAAAGCTCCATCCGATTCGAGTGCATCGTGCGTACAACACGAGGGAAAAAGAAATTAAGAAAAGGGGTAATCTAGACAGAGACTTGATGAATAGAAGATCACCTCGCGCCCGTGGGATTTCAAATTTTTTTCCTTCGTTTTTTGTATTTCAGGTTGATAGCCTCGTTTTCTCTTGTTTCTCTCTTTCTCTCTATATGAAGTCCAGTAGTGCAAGGATGATTCTGGACACACAGACAGGAATGATAAGAAAAACAACAAAAGGACAACGAAGTCACAACAACCCGGATGCCGCATCAGCCCATAAGATAAGATAGTTCTTTTTTGCCTTCCCGACCTCCCAGAATCATTTCCAACGCAAGCAAGGGTACATAGCCTCGAGAGGGAAAAAGATGTTGACGAAAACTCGGAGTTGGTAAAGGAAATTAACGGAGACGGCGGGCCTCGCGTTCGGACTCGAGCAGGCAGAGGATGTCGTCGACCTTGACTGTTTGCGACGAAGAGGAGTTTAGTTAGCTTGATGTGTGCGATATATGGGTTTGGTTTGGACATGACGGAGCGACTGGTTGGTTGGCTGGCTGGCTGGACTGAATGCGATATTTCCCCGTGGAGATGAAAAATAACCCGCGATACTGCTTGGTTTCCTTATTCCTTCTCTTCGATTCCTGCGTGCGTCGTGTTGGGTTTGGGAGATTCGTCCTTTTCGCTTATAGAATCGTGGATGTTGTCGATTTCCGATGCGTGCGCACATTCTCATTCTTTGCCATTCTTCTCGCGGGATTTTCTCTTCGAGGGGAAATAATTCGATTCGGTCCAACCAGCGCCACCACCATAGCCGTAGAAAATATAGATCATCAACTGTATTCAACGGAGAAATCGCATACCTGGGCCCTTGACGTTACGGATGATGCTGCGGGAGGTATCGTCCATGAACTCGACGCGGACCTGGGTGACACCACCACGGGATCCTATAAAGTAAAATGCCTGTTAGAATCTGCTCTCAAGCAAAAGGTACCATCTCCACGCCGTTGCGGAAACACCGCAATTGTATATATCCAGGCGAAAGGCATCGAAATTCGGAAAATTGAGATATTCACGACGTACCGGTACGGCCGAGGACACGGGTGACCTTGACGAGCTTAGCGGGCTGCTTGGCGGAATCCATCTTGGAGTTGGGCTTGACGACAGCGAAGGACTGACGGGATGCGTGAAGATGGCGTTTTGGGGGGGTTGGCAGAAGTTGAAGCCGTTCGTGAAAATCGAGGGATTTGCGGCTTGTGTGGGTTGGGTTTCTGTTTTGGGCTAAAGGCGAGGGCTCAGGGCTAATGTGGCCTGAGCCGTCAGGCACTCACTAAAGCCTGGAATGTCAGGCTGATGATGAGGTAATCTATCCATTCTAGCCTGAAATACTAGGCAGAAGTGTCAGGCAAAGAATAACCCTGACCTTGGCTGGCCTGAGGTAAGAAATTCGGGCCCCTCCGATGACGGGGATTTCAGACTCTTTTCTGCGGCATCTTCTTCCTCTTCCTCTACGCTGCTTATTCCCCCCTCTTACTCTCTCTTACCTCTGTTTAACTCTTTATTTCTGTTCGCAATACCCTGTTTTAGGATATTCGATAGTCTCTTAGATCTTGGATTTATCTCCTAATCCTTCAATTGCTCTTCTTTTTCTTCACTTGTCGTCTCCAATTTCCTTGCCGGTTTACCCCGCGCCGTTGATCGTCAGAATGGATCTCGTCAACCAGTGAGTCAATTGCCCCGTAGCAAGCATTGAACCCCACGATCACCACATGCTCGTCACCATTTGTATATATTGACTGACATTTTCCCTTACAGCCTCGAAGGAAGACTGCTCTTCGCTGTCCCCAAAAGCAAGTTCCCGCCATGACTCACTCTTCCTGACCGCAAAGCACCCCCCAAATTGTCCAACCCACCAATGGCCCCTAAACCAAGCACCGGACTAACGCCTGCCTTGCCATGAACAGAGGGCCGTCTTCAACAAGCTACGCTGGACCTCCTGGCCGGCTGCGACATCCAGTTCCGTCGCGAAACCCGCCTGGACATCGCCCTGGTCAAGAACCTTCCTATCGCCCTCATCTTCCTTCCCGCCGCAGATATCCCCACCTTTGTCGGTGAAGGCCGTGTTGATCTTGGTATCACCGGACGCGACCAGATTGCCGAGCACGATGCGCTGCTGCCCCGCGGCGAAGTCTCGAACGTGGAGGAGGTCATGGACCTCGGCTTCGGCGCCTGCAAGCTCCAGGTGCAGGTTCCGGAGAAGGGCGACATCACTGAGGCCAAGCAGCTGATTGGCCGCAACATTGTCACCAGCTTCACTGCTCTCACTGAGCAGTTCTTTGCCAAGCTCGAGGGCAAGAGCGAGGCTGACAAGAGCGAGCTCAGCACGAAGATCAAGTACGTCGGCGGCAGTGTTGAGGCTGCTTGCGCTCTGGGCGTTGCTGACGGCATCGTTGACCTTGTTGGTAAGCTTAAAGTTCCTCATTCGCAGCATTACTAGGCCATTTAGCGTCTAACCGAGTCCATAGAGTCCGGTGAGACCATGAAGGCCGCTGGTCTCAAGGCCATCGACACCGTCGTCGAGACCATCTCCGTCCTGGTCAAGTCCAAGAAGACCCAGAACCCTCTGGTTGACCTGATTGCTTCCCGTATCCGCGGTGTCATCAGTAAGTTCCTGTTTTTGCCTTCCATATCATCCGATCAGTTCGGTTAATTCGTCTCTCTTCTCTGCAGCTGCCCAAAAATACGTCCTGTGCCAGTACAACATCCCCCGCGGAGAGTTGGCCACCGCCTCCAAGATCACCCCCGGCAAGCGCGCACCCACGGTGACCGCCCTGGAAGAAGACGGCTGGGTGGCCGTCAGCTCGATGGTCGAGAAGAAGAAGATCGCGACGGTCATGGACGACCTGACCAAGGTTGGCGCAACGGATATTCTGGTCCTGAACATCGCCAACTCGAGAACGGGTTAAGTGTGAAAGTAAAGCCTCGTTATCTTGCAGTTTTCCTTTTTCTTCTCTTCATGTATAGGGCGCGCTTCTTCCTTTCTTTCTCATTATATTTCTTGTGATCAAATATTATCGGCATTCTAGATGGTTAGACGGGTATAATCGAGTCCATGAGATACGGTTCAATGATCAGAGTACGGTATCTCTTTCCAAAAGTACTAATCAGTGTGGAAATATATTCATTGATATGATCTAATGAAAGGGTTGGTAGTGGATGACCTCAGAATTGGATGGTAGCCGAAAGAAAAGAGAGAAAAAAACAGGATATCAAGGAAAAAGAAAAACAGAACCTATCAGATAAAACAGGACCCCGCACATTCATTTCTGCAGGAACCCGAGGACCCATATCCTCAGTTGCTAAAGGATTGACTAGCCTAGTACTAGTAGTGTAGTATTAAGATGTTAAATTAGTTGAGTCACTGTCTATATGCGCTGAATATAATTTCAGTTACTAGTACTCAGTTTCATTCTAAGGGCCTGTTCTCATGATACCATACCTGTAGATGGTAGATATATATATATTACTAGTACTAGTACCATTGTACTGGAAGAGGGCGAAATTGGAAGGATTATTGTTTCTAAAGCGTAAAACAGCCCAAAATAATGCCTAAACCAACTCTTTGGATTGTAGATGATATATTTTACACACCAATTCTAGCCATGAACATTGTATGCATGTGGTGATGAGTAGTAGTAGTCCCGCAGATCACAAAGGCGGAGACGCTCGTATGTATGGATGTGGATGCCGTTTCAGCTTCACAACCAATCAAAGTATCAATACACTGTATATACCATATGAATAGTCATTCATTATTCATTCATAGTCGTCATAAACAGGATGCAGTGCGAACAATATTTATGATAGGGGTATCGTTTCTAGTATGCATAGGCGGTAATAACAATGACGATATGTATGCATGCATGTGTTTGTCTTGTCGGGAGGGGAGAGAGAGTGAGAGGTATGAGGATAATAATGATGATGATAAATCATGATGACGAAGACGACTGTTGCTGGGAAGAACCGCCCAGTCCAACACCCTCTTGTCGGCCTCTGACTAACGCCAGAAGACATTGACCCACGCCTTCCAGGTCGCCGAGAAGCCCGACGTGTCCACGATCGCTCTTTACCAGACCACCCTTGATGATCCGGTATCCCGGCGGCAGCATGGCCGCGGAGGCAAGACAGACGCCGTCACCGGCTGCGAAAGCCAGATCGTCGTAGGCGTCTTGGTATGGGATACGCTCGCGCGATTCGACGCGAGCTCCGTAGACGGTGGGTACGGACTTGCCGTATAGCACGGCAAAGGGTGGGTATTGGTTTTGAGACTGATATGAGGAGTTGAATGCAAGCTCTTGTTTGAACCGAAGGACCTCTGCTAGAGTACGCTCCAGATAAGTCACGGCTGTCGCACGGGGTATGGTCGTAGTTGTGGTAGCCTTAGTGTTGGCTGAACCCTTGAAGTTGGGGGTTGGTCCTACCGCGCTCTCCAGGTTCGGGGGAGCGACCGGCGCAGATTTGCCGGTGGTCTCACTGGAAGGATTTGCTGTTTCGTAAGGGTGCTGGGTGTGATTATGTGATGCCTGGTCGCCATTGGCATCATCCGACGAGGATAGACTATCCTTACTGCCTAGGACGGTGGAGATGCGCTTTCCGAGAAGAGGCAGGTTGTCCTTGAAGCCTCTGTTGTTTCCAAGTGGAAGGGCCGGATTGATACAAGGAGAGAGCCGGTAGTCGTCCCACGCCTGGGCAGAAAAGAAATCCACACGGTACTCTTCCTTCGTCCGCTTGTTGATAAAACAGTGTCCGTCCTCTGGAAGCAGGGCAAAGCTGGTACGGAAGGTGAAGTTCACCTGAGCAGTAAGGACGCGGGAACTAAGCAGCACATCATCCCCATTACGGAGAGGGCCTAAGATGTTGACACAGTGCTGCGGGACGCCTGCATAGAGGACTCCTGCAAAGAGATCCGGCCGCTGATTAACGGCATGTCGTGTGATGAGGCCGCCCAAACTGTGGGCGATGACATAGGCTCCGCGCTTTTCGCGAGGGGTGTCTGGGGAGTTACAGGGCAAGCCTTCTAGAAACTTGACTAGTCGCTTAGCAAGTAAATGCGGACTCAATCGCCAGTCGTAACCATAATCGTGGACTCGGAGATCCCCGTTAACGGCGTTTGGGCACTTTTGAAGGCGCTTCATCAAGCGGCGGCAAATGTCGACTGGGCCAACATGAGACAACACGCCGGACGGGATGATGGTCTCTTCCATGCGCTCCTCGTCTTCCGGATTTAGGCCAACCTCCAGATCCACCTTGCGAAGATTCAGACCGACTTTCATCGGAACCCACAGTTGACGCTGCGGCGGTTTGGCGGACCGCAAGACTGAGCCTCGATAGCCTCCGAGAATAACAACATCACCGGTCATTTCCGCCATGGCCTCAGTCAGATTGGGGTACTGTGCACTGATACTAGTCCGCGGAGAACGGGCCCGAGGTGGTAACGAATCATCACCCGGCATCTCCCGAGCAGAGTGTGGCCGCTCTGGCGTGGCGTAGGTGTGACCCCTGCGATTAGTTACATCGGACAGAAATGGCTTATAGCCCCAATCACTTCGGAGGTCTTGCAAGTGCAGTGTGGGCATACTAAGCAGCCGGCTGCTGGAGTCCTGGAGGCTGTCTTTAATCGCCTTGAATCGGCTGTTGACCTGCGAATGGATGTGCTCGTAACGGGGACGCTGCTCGAGAGAAGATGCGGTTGATGAGGCTCTCAAGTATAGAGATTGGTCTGAAGACGATCTCCGTAGGAGGGAAGGAGGGCCTGTTGTACTGGGTCTCCGCGCATACGAGTGTCTAGCGGTCGTGGCGCCCCCGAGAGGATCGAGTTCAGATACTTGCTCCTCGGGGCTATCTCTGGACTCCGGGTCGGAGAACGACTTGCGCCGGGACTGCAGCGTGGATTCCTCCTTTTCTTGTTCTAGTGCCAGCTTTGACGCCGGTTTCAGGGTTTGACTGCGAGCCCGGACATGGAATGGCGAGCCGGGTCGGAAGGAGAGCGATGACCGTTTAGTCAACAGATCTGGCAGGAACTTCTTCAGGCGTATATTGGTCAAGGAGTCGCCGGACCATGCCCTAGGTCGAAGGGGTAACCCGGATTTCAAGATCGAACGGGTGAAGCTGGTTCGCTGCCCGTCTTTGGAACCCCGGGCGCTGTCACGCTGTGGCGCCGCCAAGTCCGCTGAGGAGGCTTGAGCATCACCCGGCTTAGCAGCCGGTTCCTCAGGCAAAGCCTCTGGTTCGTCGGTAATTTCAGATGCAAAAAGACCCTCCGGTTCCGGCATATCCGGGATTGTGTCGAAGTAGCTGCTCTGCCGTTCCATCATTCGGCTTTTCTCTTCCGCAGGCGTGAGGCGCGCCTTCATACGGCTCTGGGCGCGACTCATGCTAACCCCGACCACTTCATTGGCCTCATCTTCGCGGACGGCGTCCGGAAAATTTGGATCCTCACTGTCGGAACTCGAATTGACGGTGAAGGTGGGCGAGTGTTGTGCAGCTGGCGAGGTGTGTGCAATGACGGGGACCTGACCATTGGTCCCCGCTGGATGTGCAGGAAGCGCCATGGCTAAGGTGGGCGGAGAGGGGAGAAAGAGCTGAGATTATGTATGACCCATGCAGAGAAGATGGTTTAAAAATGGAGTGATGAGGGAAGATAAGAATAGATGGAAAGAGAAAGGCTGAGACAGACTAAAGAGGGCAGTTCGATTAGGATCCATCACATGTCAGAGTGGATAGATGGATGGGTTACTATGGGATAGCGCACTAAACTAACGGTTTGAATGTCTATGATGGAGCATTCGTATTCGCGTTAGGGTGGCTCCATAGGGGCGAGACTGGAGCGTGCTGGAGGCGATCAGCAAATCAAGCGCATGGAGACCATAGCAATAACGGGGACGCGAGAGAGCGTGGGACGGAACACAAGATTATTTAATCATAAATGGATGGATGGACGAGAGGAAGAAGTGGACAGGTACCATCGAAGGAAGGGAGAAAAGCAAAAGAGATAAACCATGACGAGCAGGGGAGGAGAAAAATAGAAAAACTAAGCAAGAGGGCCAAAAAAAGTCAGAGAAAGAGAGGTTCCACCGCACAGCCTCCGGGCGTTCCGGAAGAAGCTTCCTGTAGTCAGTCGCGACGATTATTTTCCAGCTTTCAAGCAATGGAGCAGGAAGGCTGTACTCGCGCGACGGGATTATTCTTGGGATCCGACCATGGATAGTGCCGGATAGTTCAACATAGCTGAGCGTTAGTGGGATGCTTGGCTGGAGGTTAAGTCAGTGGCTGATCACCAGGAGGATTTGCTGTTCCGGAGCGGAGCTGAGGTCAGCTTGGGCTTCACCAGAGGATTGGGTGCGCTGGAGTTGGTTCACGAAGGGGAGATTCAACAAGAGATTGGGTGGAGAGGCATCGGAGGCCATCCGTGAAGAGCCACACGGTCCATGGGTTGGTTCAATCTCGAGTTCCATACTGCATGCACACAATCAGTCCATTGGCAGTTGCGATGAGATCATGTCCCAGGCCATAGCATAACCATCACATCACATCATCTAATACAGTAAAAGTAGATGCATATCGTCATAGTTTGGCTCGGTTGGCGGGCAGCCGAAAGCAACAGAGCAAATGAGAGAGAAGCAAGATGATTTGAGGGGGAATCAAGATGAAGATGAAGATGGAGCACCTCAGGCGCCAATCAGCTGACAGCCAGCGGACTCAGTGCCACACCACAACACACAACTTGTGCACTCACTAGTTATCTATCTACTTCGTATAGTCAGAAAGTAATCTTGACTGTGTTGCTTACTTTCTAATATAATTGGCCTGCGACCTGTCCATCGCTCGAATCTCACTAACAATGAAGATTGGCACAATTGTTCTCTCAAGTCTCCGCATGCCAGCACGCCGGAATGTGGCTATCCCGACGCTAATTGGCATCCGTCCACTCATCCAACTCCAATTGCTACGTGCTAATTTAGAGCCGTCTCCAGGTCCAGCCGCCCTCTGCGCAACAAAGGAAATCCGCGTCATGGTACACATCATATTCATGAATTCACACTAATACAAGCACTAGCAGATCGCGTATTCGTATCTCATTATCAGAAAAAGGCGGGGTTCATTCCCATAGCGTTCAAAATCACCGCTGGGTTCTGTTGAAATTCCCCGATTGAATCTCCTGCTCACCTCCTCGAGCAATGGCCGAGTTTTTGGCGGCCCCTTCTTCGTGCCCAAAGGCCTTGTCGACCGCCGCGTTAAGCCCGCCTCGCAATGACTCCCCCGCTCCCTGTTTCAGGTCAGCATCAGCCGCTCCTTAGTGTCGGATAGCCCGCGGCCACTACGGAAGAGTGCCTGGCTAGACTAGACTGCTTGTTGGGACTTACATGGATTCCTGCTGCGGCCGACTTCACACCGCTGCCGACAGATTCCCCTGCCTGGGCCGACTTGGACTGGGTGCCGTATGTGCTACCGGATGATTGCGTCGGTTGGTATCCTACTCCGCTGGTGGTTTGCGACCCGGAGACTGGGGCGGTATTGTAGCCAGCTGCGCTTGAAGCAGCGCCTCCAGCAGCGGTAGCAGCTTGGTTCGGTTGCTGGTAAGCGGCTCCGCCGGTGGTATCGGTAGGTTCACGCATGGCCCCAGAGCCAGTTGCGTTCGTCGACTTCGAAGACATTTCGCCGGTCTTGCTGTTGACACGGGGGTCCAGTTTATTGAGAAGGGAGGACTTGTGAGGGCCCGCTGTGGAGCTTTGAGGGTTCGATACGTTCTGGGTAGCCTGGGGATGTACGTTGCCGGTGGTTGTCGCACCCGGGGCGTACTGAGCGCGGTTGTTCAGATCGCTATCGACGCGGGGATCGGCCTTGTTGGCTAGATCAGATTGATGCGGTCCTGCAGTGGTGCGCGCAGGGCCGGTATTTGCTTGACCGGTGCTGGTGATGCCGCTGCCAACTTGGGTCCCTGTTGCAGTGGTTGCGCTGGGGTTCTGGTTGGGTTCACCAAAGGTGGAAGAATAGTATGGAGGCTGAGTACTGCTCATGGTGATAGAGTGTCAATAAGTAAGTTCTGATATGTGGATATGATGCTGTTAAGGTAGTATCCATTCCCCACCGTCTTATGTCTTCATCTTATATAAGGAGGCGAGGCCGAGTGTCTGGAGCCTTCGACATCATCGATCAGCCTGTGACGTCAGACTAGACGTAGCCATGGTTGAGACGCGACCATCACTGCCATTGTTGGCCTTGAATATTGTTGCAGTAAGTCTAAGCAGATGAAACCAGCCACAGTGAACCCAGTGATTGGGGATAAGACATGCTGATGATACTATCCATCTTCAATGTCAACCAGTATATGGTCACGTGGTTCCTTATCGATAAGACTGTAAAACACAATGATGTCATGAAGCCAAAAAAATGTGCGGGATGCAGAAAACAAAGCTATACCAGTCATAGCCTACGCAGCCATAACTTGCAGAAGTAATGGCCAGCAACAAAGGACAGACCGACTAATCAAAAAGAAGACACAATAACTCCGAGCCGAACCCCTTCAAGGGACCAACCCGACCAGAGTGCTCAGCCGCGGGGACACCGGAGGAGTTACTACAAACAGAGCGACGGCCTAGTGTGGATTGCGGATGAGCCGAGGTTCAGAACGCCTCAGGGTCAATGCCGAAAAGATGGGCTTCTCCAGCCCCCATTCTCATTCATTCATTCACTATACTTTCTTCATTCACTTTCTGTATAGATAATTTATCAGATTAGCCTTCAAAATGACCATCACAAACCGCCAACTCATCTACGTCAAGGCCCCAACGGCAGCCATCGACCCATCCGTGACGACGGGCACCTTCAACCTCAAGAGCACCACGATCGCCTCCAAAGACAATGTCCCCGACGACAAAGTCCTCGTACGCATCCACTACCTGGCCCTTGAGCCCGCCATGCGCCAATGGCTTACAGCCAAACGGTCGTACATCGCGCCCGTTAAAATCGGCAGTATCATGCGTGGCCAAAGCATCGCCCAGGTCCTCTCCGTGGGCAGCAGCCTGAAATCTCAATACAAAGTTGGTGACTGGGTGATTGCCTACTCGGGATGGCAGGAATACGCATTCCTGGGCGCCAAAGAGGCGCAAAAGATCTCCGTGCCTGCGGGCTGCAAGCCCACGGACGCGATGTCCGTGCTGGGCATGACTGGCCTGACGGCGTACTTCGGCATGATGGATGTGGGCAAGCCGAAGGCAGGAGATACGGTGGTGGTGTCTGGGGCAGCGGGAGCAACGGGGATGGTGGCGGGCCAGATTGCGAAGATTCAAGGAGCAAAGAGGGTGATTGGGATTGCGGGAAGTAAGGACAAGTGTGAGTTCTTGTGTCGGGAGTTGGGATTTGATGTGGCGATCAATTATAAGGATGAGGATTGGAAGAAGCAGCTCAAGGAGGCGACGCCGGAGTATATCGATGTTTACTTTGATAATGTGGGCGGGGAGATTCTGGATGCGTGTTTGGGGCGGGCGGCGCAGTTTGCCAGGTTTGTCATTTGTGGTGCGATTAGCCAGTATAATGTTGCGAAGCCGAAGGGGCCGGCAAATATCATGCAGGTTATTGTGAGTATCTCTATGCCATATTTGCGTGGGAAATATGCTGACAGAAGCAGTCGCAACGAGTCAAAATGCAGGGCTACATCGTGTTCGACTACGCGAAGCAGTACCCGGATGCGTTGCAGGATTTGGCCAAGTGGTTAACGCAGGGCAAGATCAAGCGCAAGGAGCACATTGTCAAAGGGGGGTTGGAGTCGGCGCCGCAAAGTCTGGTAGATTTGTATAAGGGAGTGAATACGGGCAAGATGATGGTGGAGGTGGTGCCGGCAGAGGAGGGAATCAAGGCCAAGTTGTAACCACCAACATACTTTGTAGCATTTTTGAACAGTATACAACAATATTAGTAAACACTTCAATGATAATTCAAGATCCAAATAGCCTAGTTCGAGTCTACGAAATGGACTGTTGTTGACTGTTAACTCATAATGACCACTGCGGCTGCAACCATGGCTGAACCACCATTACTTCATACTCAACTCACGTCATACTGATCCACCACCATCATCACCACCACCACCAGGGACTCGACTGTGTAATGGCCGTGCCACAGCACCAATGGCACCATATAAACCGGATTCAACCCTAAACTAGACACCAATTTCACCATGTTGCAGCGCCAACTCCTCCGTGCATCTCTGCTACGTCCTACCCACGCAATCCGCTACAATACTACTAGTAGTATCCGTCCGACTATATATAACACGGGCACATACCTCAGCTCTACACCACTATACTCTACAACTCAGAAACACCAGTTCTCTCACACAACCACCAGAACCCAATCCGATCTGCACAAAATGGCCTCTGCAAGCAACGAACACTTTAAGCTGGAGAACCTCTTCGGCGTGAAGGGCAAAGGTACCCCCCCACTCCTCCCCCAAAACACTCAAAACATAGTATATCCTACTCCTCTACCTACCAGCAAATGGAACTAACAAACAACAGTGGCCCTAATCACCGGCGGCGGCTCTGGCATCGGTCTAATGGCGACGCAAGCGCTCGCAACCAACGGCGCCAAAGTGTACATAACCGGGCGAACGCAAGAGAAACTCGACCGCGTAGCCAGCCTCTACAACAAGAACATAAGCGGCGAAATCATCCCCATAGTCTCCGACATCACCTCCAAAGAATCGATTACCAAGCTAGTTAAAGAGATCGAATCCCGGGAATCCCACCTCTCAATCCTGATCAACAACGCGGGAATAAGCAGCAGCACCGACAACACCGAGCCCAGCGAGGCGCAGGACCTCAAGAAGACCCTCTTCGACGAAGCCACGCCCATGAGCGAATGGGAAGATACCTACAGGACGAATGTAATGCAGCTGTACTTCACCACCACTGCTTTCCTGCCTCTATTGCAGAAGGGCTCGGAGAGAGAAAAAGGATGGAGCAGTACTGTTGTGAACATCACCAGTATCTCGGGAATTGTGAAGGTGTCGCAACATCATTTCGCGTATAACGCTAGCAAGGCGGCGGCGATTCATTTGACGAAGATGTTGGCGCATGAGGTTGCTGATAGTGGGTTGAGGATTCGGGTGAACAATATTGCTCCTGGAGTGTTCCCGAGTGAAATGACGGCCGGGGAGAGTGATGAGACGCAGAAGAGTCACATACCCAAGGAGAAATATGAGGGCAAGGTGCCGGCTGCGAGACCAGGCAAGGATGAGGATATGGCGAGTGCGGTGCTGTTTGTTAGTACGAATCAGTATTTGAATGGGCAGACGGTGGTTGTCGATGGGGGGTATGTTTTGGCTGCTGGGACTGTCTAGTTTCTTTAATTTAGGGTTGAGTATGGTTTAACTTATGTATGATGGAATGTGTAATGTTATTGATGTAAATCGAGGTTGTACATCCATTCTGATCTCATGACTTCAGATGCTTTGATCCGTCGATTTGCATCTGGGTTCAGCATTGCGTATACCACGTTCTTACATTGTGCCTGTCACTCCAATTAGCACCAAAGGATCAAACAACAAGAATAAGAAACCAGAGAAAAGACTCACCTCCCCCAACCCCTCAATAGCACTATATCCCTCTCTTCTCTTCCTCCCTGCAAGATACTCCGCATACCTTCCATCCTCATCCTCACTCGCACTCCGCCAGAGAATCCTCCCCAGCCTCAAAACAAGGTATATGATCCCGGCAGCCCAGATATCCACAGCCCCGGGGTCACCCCTCCCCTTCTCCCCAGACGAACACGTATACCTCTGTTGTCGACAATAAATAGAAGAAGACCGAAGAGAGCAAGGAGAAAGTATCTCCGGCGCAAGATAAGGATTCCTCATCATCCTCCTCCCCTGCATCCCCTCCAACTCCTCAAACTTGCGTATCCCCATCGACAACCCCCTAACAAGGGGATAAACATCTTCTTTCCACGCCGCATAGTACCCACCACCACCACCATCCTCCCCAACATGACCAAGAAGACCATGAAACTCCCTTGAATCGAACACCCGCGCATCCCCCAGATCCCCCAACTTGACACATATCCCATTCCCATGATTCCCACTCCCATCCTCGGAAGGACAATCCCACGAAAGAAAAACATTCTCGACACAAACCCCCCCATGCACGACTCCCATCTCATGAAGAAACTCCAGTGCGCTCATAATCTGATAGAAGATCCTATCCGCGATCATCACTGCATCTTTTCCCCTCTCCCTCATTATTAGCATGTCTTCCCATGCTTTGGAGCATATATACGTTCCCAAATCCCCTAACTCGCAGTACTCGCTCACGAGACACGTCTCCCCCCTCGAGTTGGGAAGAATGTCGATTGTTTGGAGAAGATGCGGGTGATGAAGGGTGGAGGAGAGGATGGATTCGAGGGTGGATTGTAGGGTGCGTTTGGTGGAGGAGGGGGTTGGGCGGAGGGTTTTGAGGACGTATGCTTCTTTCTTCTTTCTTTTTTCTTTTTTGGGGGTGTTGGTGTTGGTGGTGTAGAGACGGATGGAGCTGGAGGTGCCGTAGTGGAGGATTGTGGTGCAGGTGCCGTATTTTTCTTTTAGAGATTGGGGTTTATTCTGTGGTTCTTGGGGTTGTGGACGGTGTGGGAGGAGAGGACTCTCTTCTGATATGGAAATGGCATCTTTGTCTGTGTCTGTGTCTGTCCCTGGGAGGATATTGGCAGTAGTCGTGTTGGGTGTATGTGTAAGCCATGGAAAAGGAACCGAAGATAATGAGAATGAGGAGTCTGATAAGGGGAGTTTGAAACAAAAGTAATTTTTGGCTATTGCTATTGTTGATGGCATGATGCCTCTCTAGTTAGTATCGAATATGTAGAGAGCAAAATGGAAGTAGATGTCAATGTAGTACCATGTAACAAGGGGAGCACCATCATGTATATACCCCTACTACTACTACTACTACTACTACTACTACTACTACTACTAACCAACAAACTTACAAAGTATGCGGCAATTGTCGATCAGTCAGAGTGCGGAGGTTAGTCGTACCTCCTGACAGACGAAACTAAATGTATGGTCCAAGCACGTCCAACTTAATCCCTCGCGGCGCGAAGGATCACCTCACCTCAGACATCATCAGACGTCTTTTACTCCGTGGTTGTAGTACTTACTGAAGTAAGAGAGTTGATCAGAGTGAGTGATCACCACTTACGTAGACTGATAAACTATGTAGTGTCGTCCAACAAATAGTTAGCTAAGTTATCAGACAGAACGCACTGTAGCTGCTACCTGCACAGCATCAAGCAAGGGTCAGTCACCGTCACCGCCAGTCCCAACTACTAGTACTATTCGATGGGCAGGTGAGGGATTTCCATCACCAATCCTATTCTGTAGATTTTCTCTCTCTACTGCAGCTAGACTACCCCGCGCCAGCACCATCCAGACCAAATATGGGGCTTGTTGAACCGCGGGACGGAACTGAACTGAACCAGAACCAATAATCTAGTCTACTTGGTCTGTCTGTCTGCAGGCAGTGCATAACATTCCAGGTAAGCTGTAAAGCTGTAGGCTGAAATATAGTTAGTAGCTATAGGGTATAGCTGTCTATCGAATACTGCCAATATCATACACCATGCAACGACAGAATCCCAGTCCATCCAAAATCACCGACCAGCGAATTACCCTGCCATAGTAATATGTTCATCGAAGAAGAAGAAATGATTATCTAAATAGTGGCTGCGAGGTATCATCATCAATCATCGCACCTTGCCCGCCTCGCGCACTTCATGCATAAAGCCATCCTCGTCACCCGCCGAGCCCAACATCCAGTAATCGCCCATCCCGGACGCCATCTGCCCGCCTCCGAACCCAGTCGCGGAGGCCGGGGCACTGTGTCGCTCCTGCGTCCGAGTGCCCCCCTGTCGGGGTCCCCAGCTGAGAATATCCTGCACCGCCTTGCGACTCTGGTCGTCCGGCTTGGTGTACCCAAACAGCTGTGGCTGCAAGCAACCGAGGATCGCGACGCCCGCCCGGATCATGATCCGGTCACCTTCGAATACCCAGCAGTCCCAGACCCGGCTGAGACGCTCCAAGTCCAGTCCGTTCGTCAGCAGAGACCGGAACATCGGTTCCCAGATCTCTTCGTCGCTGAGTCGGAGCGTCTCGTGCAAATGCGTCATCAAACGCGGGAATTTGTATTTCAGCGTCGCAGACGCCAGTGAATATGTACGACCGATCGCCCCGCGGTCCAACGTAAGAAAAGCAACAGGGAGCGGCCGATTGAGCGCATTGGCCATGGCAAGGAACGCCGACGATGGCGATGGAAATTGCAAGACAAGCAGGGCAGCGATGGTCTAGAATCGTTAGTCATGAATCGTCGAGGAGTACGAAAGGAAAACTCACATGCAAGCCACTGACATAGCCCACGTCGCTGCGATACATAGAGTAGGCCTGCAAAACATCGATCAATGTCTCGCGCAGCGGACCGCCGACCTGAAACAAGTTCAAATCGGGGAATGCCTTGGACGCATCAGCGTCGATCGCCTCGAACCAATCCCTCATGCGCTTGTTGGTCTCCCCTGAATCACCCTCGGGCCGCGCCCGCACGTCCTTGGCGCGTTGCAAGGCCTTTTTGTATGTTTCCTCGGAGAGAGCCAGCTCATTGCCGATAGCACGCTGCCAGGTCGAGCCCCGGATCCGAGGCGGCACTCCGCGCCACCATAACTCCCGCGTACGGGTTTCATTAATGACATTATCCCAGTTCGGGTACACATACTCGTCCCAGATCTGCTGGAGAGTCTCGCGAGTGTTGTCCTTTTCGCATTTCGCGGAAGCAGCCTTCGCAGCACGACGCTTGTCTGATCATTGTCAGTTACCGATCATTGCAATGAGTCGAGTCACATACCTGCTTCCCGGGCCTGCGCCATCATCCGCTTGTATTCCTTCAAATGCCGCTTCTCCTCCTTCTGATCCTTCGGAGGCAGCCAGCTGGGCCGCGTCCGCGTCAGGACCTTCTCCTTCTCCTTGCTGGGAGGTAACGGATCGATCATGATGTTGGATTTCTGCAACGGGGGCAGCTCAATGGTGCTTTTGGACCCACGCTTGGACTCCTCGCTCGACCGGAGAGAGGAGAGCCCGCTTTGCAGGCGCTCTCCCCGCTGGCGCTGGCGCTCATCGGCGTGGAATTCCAAGGCTTCCGTAATGATCTTGGCCTCTTCCGACAAATCCGACATCATATTGTTGTACGAGTATGCTCGCGGGTTGCGGGGCGAGATCTGACCGCGCTCAGGTCCTGCAGAGCTGGAACGATTGTTGCGGGTCGTGGGGGATCGTGAACCGGAAGGCGACCGGGGAATGGTGACATCGGAAACCGAATGCGACAGCGGCAGGGGTCGAGGGCCAGGACTGCGACCGTTGGGGCTGGAGGCCCGGGACGGCGCTCGATCCTGTACCGGCCGCGGGGAGATGGGAACATTCCAGAGACTCGCATCCTCGGGTAACTCTTCATCGGAGTCATGGTATTCATCCTCCAAGTCTTGCACGGTTTTGCGAGGTCGCTGCCACGATGGCTTTCGGTTGAGGGTGGGGGTATTGACGGGATTCAGGGACAGGCTGTGTGTAGACGGCGACGAGCTCAAGCTCGATGTTGGTCGCAGTGGGGATGTGGAACGCGAACGATGAGGCTTCGTGACTTGAAGGGCTGATTGCTTGGTGGAGGCTGGATCCCGCTGATTGCCGGTGCGGTGTTTGGGACCGCGGCCCGGCTGAGCCAAGGTGCCATTGACCTGTTTTCCGGCAGGGTATGCGGTCTTTGTTTTCGTGGCTGTCAGATCGCGGGTTGTCGCAACCGCCGATTTGGTGTGCATAATGGCCGCTGAAGCTCGGGCGATTCCAGCATTTTGGACGTACGGGGTTGCACCTTTGGCGTAGGAGACATGCACATCGTCCTGGAGGTCCACTTCTTCGAAATTGGAGATATCAGTGAAGATGGCTTCGGGGCCCGAGTGCTGCGAGGAGGAACGAAAGGAGGAAGACTTGGAGGACTTGGACCCGGAGAGGTCAGGAGGGGAATTCGGGGTGGTCGTACAAACGGTTGTCATTGCGGCGGGAGAAGCTGCAGAGTTCGAGACTCTTCCCAGATCAGAGTAAGGGAAGAACCTCAAGGGCGGATGAACCTCAAGCCGCTGCGAGAACCAGGAACGAAAAGAATGATGATACAAACACGTCCGATGGTGGCGCGAATTGAGAACAAAGAAAATAAAGCCGTTATCAGGAACGAAAGACGGGGGGTGGTAAAGAGGTGGGATGATCTCCGGATGGTATTAATTAATAGGTGTGTGACGGAAGAACCCCAAGCAGGTTGCCGCATGTACTGGAAGCGGCAGAACAAGTGGCGGCGGTTTAAGAAAGGGTCGAGGGGGGCGAGGCTGTTTTTCTTGTTTCAATTTTGGTATTATTCTGGTCCTCCTCTTACTATGCACTCAAGGGATTCAGGAGTTAATCGTGCAGCAAGCAGTGCATTTGGGGGCCGGAGCCGAAGGGGGAAGGGGACGGGGAGATGAAACGATCCCCGACAAAAACCGAGACAAGAGGCAGATGAGACAGCAGCAGAGG